AGTCACCATCATCACTATCAACCCCATTGTTGTTATCACTGCCAACTCAGCATCATCAACATCATCACCACCATCTTGATCATTATCACCACTACCTCCATTATCATCACCATCATCAATATTGTCTTTATTTTCATTATCATCATCATCATCATTATCAGCATCATCATTTTCCACACTCCAGACTGTATCTCTATCAACTCTATGTGAATGATATATCAATTCAGGATGTGATGATGTTACATGATCGCTGCATGGACCCTGCCTTGTCTGTCAGAAAACAAGCAATGGTATCCCTGACTGCTTTGTTACAAGAACAACCTTCTGATACTGTACTTCAAAGGTCTGTCTGCAACAATTTTTATTATTTTTATATCAGCACCACTCTCCACCTGGTTGAGTACCTAACGAAGCCTTGAGAACAAGAATTGATGTTACCCATGAATAGAAATCATGTGCAAGAAGAGTAAAACTAGCAATTTGAAGTTCTGGGAAGCGATGAAAAAGAATGGAAGCATGGATGTGTGTGCCTGCTAACATCCATTTGCACATTAAGTCAAATTCTAAGCCAAATTCTAATTAAGGAATGGTCAATGCTTAGTGTGTATATATCTAGTTCTGGATGGTTGCAGGAGGTTACTTAAGCACAAAAGAAACATAGGAGTCGCACAAGGAGTAGCTTTTATGCAATTTGGCTGTTTTATAGCTTCCCCTAAACTTTTGCAAGCACTCAGAGAATGAGTCAGTGCTAGGCATGCACATTCTTCTGTATGCACGTGCACTATCCATTTCTTGTTCAAATAGATAATGAAATTGAAAAAAGTGCTGAGAGTTCAAAGGGGGAATGTTCAAATATAATATTAAAGGCGTAATTACATGAAGCAATTCTCTCTGCAACATGTCTTGCAGCAGCATTGCAACACAAGTTGCACTCAGCATTGCACCATGTAACCTACAGCTTTGCAGCAATCGTTGCCAAAAGTAGAATGATCCATTTCTACTATTGGCAAAGATCGTATCTCGGTTGCACCATGTAAACAATTTTGCAACTTGTGTCGGAATGCTGTTACAAGACAAATTGCAGCGAAAATTGCTCCGTGTAATGGCACCTTAACGCTGATCATCTATTTTAGTTTGTGGTTGGATGCAATCTTTCCACTGGTACTGGATAGAGAAACCACAGCACAAGAAAAGTGTTACAGCATCTTAGAAGATGTCATTCTTAGCAAGATAGTGCCATTGCACAGGTCCATTGCTGCACCACACATACTGGCCTGGAATCTCTTACAAATAGTTGCAAGTCCTAGTGGACAGGAAGTCAGGTAGGAGCGATACTGGTCAAAACAGGATTCACCACCAGCAAACATCATGTTAGAAGTAAATGGTTTGTAGGAATTTACAAGCTGAAATAAATTTACTCAATGACACATTGTAGGGCAAGCAAAAAAGAAGCAAGTTTTTATATGGGAATTCAGTATTCCCAGCTACTACTACTATCCATTATTAAACTTATGGTTGCTTTAAGTTTTTTATTACACTTGCACACCATTCATTAAAATTCTATATACTTTTTAAATTCCCTGCTGCATTTATTTATGGTGCAACTTCTGGACGAAAACTGTCCCACCCCTCCCTTAATGACCTTCTTATACTAACAATTATATATATTTTTGTTTTGTTATCAGGCGATATTTACTTAATGCATGCCATTATTGGTCCAAACAAAACAAACTAAACAGTACTCTGGTTAAGTCACTGATGTCGCACATCAACTCCACCAACAATAAGGTATCAGTAAGTCTGCCATCAGCAGGAGCAGTGCTATTGTTTTGATTCATACACCTTTCTATTCGTGTTTCCTGGCCTTTCCTTGCTTTATTTGCTTTAACAGTGATTTTAACCCCTGACTGTTTTGTTTTTGTTAATAATTCCATCTTCAAACCTCCCCCTCCCCCCCCCCCCC